GGCAGCCAGCAGCATCATCACCATCGCCCTTAGATCATATCAGTTTTTTATTACAGCGACAACAATTTACAGGTGAGAGCATTATTTCCGTCTGTCATAAAGACTGGTTCATCGTTAGTGCTTTGCATTGTTTTTGTCAGTGTTTTACCTGCACTAGAGTCAGTGTCCTTGCTCAAACATCAGCATTTCCAGAACATTCTCGCAATGCCATCAAGGTGCCTCTTCAGAGGTCGGTGCCAACTGCGTGCTTTGAGCCGAGGTACTTTCGTTGCAACAGATTGCGAATGTCATCGAGCTTTGGCTGCTTTAATTGCCGTGTTATGAGTGCTAGAACAACAACAACTGATAGTTATGACGGTGGTAGCTCATTAAGCTCACTTGAGCGAACATCGACTCTCAGGCCATCTCAATGACCATCACATTGAGCAGATGAGTGGCATTTGCTTTGTCTTTGTTATCTGTAGTCGTCAAAAATTGCGACACAAATCCGACAGTGATTTTTGCTTGTCAAAGTCCATGATTGAGTGTTACCACCGCCAAGGTCATGATTGGGTTAAATAGAGTAGTCTGTGCGATTGCGATAAATTGTCGTGAAAATAAATGCCAAGTAATGTGCTTGAAAGCACAAAAAATATCAACGATGATTAAAAGATGCCTAGAAGATGTTGATACCGATTAGCTGTAGTCTACTCTCTACTATTTCCTGACTTCGAGTGATGCCGCTACACTGATCGACTAATGCGATAGCACTCACACGCCATAATCAAAGGATTGAACAGTTGACAGTGTTGCTTCGTGCTATTAGGCTCACAGAGGAGTACATCGAGAAGTACAGCAGAACAGAGCAGTCCACTGCCTGTATAGCACTGACTGAGTACGATGCACTAAGAGATCTGTTAGTGCACAGAATCGACCAAGAGAGAATGTCTTGCCGAGAAGCACACAGAGAGCACAGTGGGCCACTAGATTGCACTCAGTGGCAGCGCCAAGGGACTGCGTGCAGTTCTGTGCCACTAGGCCAGTTCTGTTCAGTGCATTTCAAATACCTCTACTGGGCGCCAGTTGACGGACAGGAGAGAAAGTGTGAACAGAAGAAAGGCGAAAGAGAGTGGCAACCAAATACTGCCCAGCAGGCATTTGCCGGCTCTGTCTCAAGGTGAGCAGCCGCGTGTTGGATGCTGCTGCTGCTTCTGCTACTTTTGTCGCTGTTCTGCCGCTGCTGATGCTGCAGTCATTTTCGCATATACATCAAGGGCATTGAGAGATAGCAGATGGAGGCGATTGTATAATTACTGGTGGGCAGTAATGGACACTGCTGATAGGCATGCTGTTGCAGAGTTCAACAGGCAAATCGAATGGAAAACTGTGATGCCATAGAAAATGTTGGGAACAAAACAGAAGGGGGATAAAGAAATCTACTTACGTAGATGCCGGTTATGATGATGACGAGAAAGTATATGCCCACGACGGCATAGTCCCAACCGCCCAGATGGTCCTTTGCCCGGTTCAGGGAGTACGTCGAGTAAAGGTGGCTTCGGACCACATCAGGATTCGGCTCTTCGCTTGTGGTGTCCATTTTTGAATTTTTTTATTTCAACAGTTAGTGCCAACAAACGTTCAGTGGAAGACCTTCCACTGCTGACTGCTTTCTGATCGATGTCCACTGGCAGACTGACTGGCCACCAGAGAAATGAGCAGTGTTGTTTGGTGGTGGTAGTGTTGATGGAGGTGGTGGTAATGGTGGAAGCCGATGGCCAAAAGCTAGCAAAGGAAGTGCTGTTTGCTTGCACTAGCCGGTCGGTAAGAGGCTAGCACTACTGCCAGTGAGTGCACTGAAAATGCAATGGTCGGCGTCAGTGTCTGGTGAACGTGCGACAGACACTTCAACTTGCTCTGTCCGAGTGGGCAAACAGTGGCGAGGAAGTGTGGGAAGACGTCTCGAGGAATCGAGGCAGCTCAATACTTTTTGTGCGCTAGTCCGCTCCATTTAAAATAGTAGCTCCACATTGACCCTGACGGTGGCAGCAGTACAGCGGCAGAAGCGGCAGCTGCAACTGCTGCTGCTCATGAATGTGCATCCGAGCTGCTGCTGCTGCTGCTGCTGCTTCTGCCATTGCCGCTGGTGCCGTACGTATTCGGACGACAGGAGAAGGCGTAACTCTGCCTCACTCCGACAGTCGCCGTACCTCCCCCATCCCTCTGCTGCACTACCTGTACATTCGCTCAGTGTCAGTGGTAGTAACTCACTGGCACTGCTCTGCACTGTCCGATGCGTCTCAGACACGACCACAACCACCAACACGACGACGACCCATCTGTCCATCGACCAGTGGACAGACGCCAGTACAGTCATTACGGCAGTGCAAACACATTCTCGCAAATGAAATTGTTTTTCATTAGATAAAGCAATTTTCTGGTCTCTTGAGTGCGGGAAAACCACTGGTGTGCTGGAGTGAACTTCCGTTGTGGTCTCTAACTCCCCGGTTATAGTATTTTCAAGTTTAAAAGTAAGTTTTTGAGTGCGCATTCCAATACGGTCAGTGAATTGAGGAGAAAGTACTTCCCAGCATTGGATGTTGAGGATCACCTTGCCGAGGCAATTAGTGAAGCATCTCTCAGTAGACGATGAGGGCAAACGCATCTTTAGGGGTTTGTGCGATTGACAAACTTTCCAGCCGTCACAGATTGACATTGGCATTGACAGCGCAACGACATGTTGTTGTCGTGCTTGGCGCGCAGTGCCTCCGTGCTAATTACTGATCACTATCAAATTACATTCGTCGCTCAGTGCGACTGCAGGTGTTGATGATGCTGGCGGTGATGGTGCTGCTGATAACGTAGAGACGGTTGATTGGCACTCCTCTGACCACTTTATCTTCCAATGGACTGCGAATTCGGGTACTATGCGGAAATTCTAATTTAACTCAAGNACTTTATCTTCCAATGGACTGCGAATTCGGGCACTATGCGGAAATTCTAACTTAACTCAAATTTTAAGAATATTGCACCAACTACAGTAGAATCACTCAAAATTTATTATTACACGTTGCCCTTGCGCATGTTTAAGCCATTTTTAGCTCGATTTCAATTTTTAATAAAATTCATTAGTAAAGGGTTATTGCTTTTACTCAAATATTTTCTGTAGAAGCATGCTTTTTATTTGTTTTTAAAGTATTCAAAAGCAGCTTTAGAAAAATAAATACTGGCGCCGGTTACGTTGTCGATGAATGTGCAGTTTTTTAACCTTAAAAAATCACAAACATTTCAGCTGAGGACAACATCGTGTACAATATTTTGCATCGGGTATTAATCTTTAGTTTCCTCGGGCATCCTCATCATGCCTGTCACCGAAAGCATCAACTTGCCGAGTTATGATGAGCTCGATGTGCAGGATGTTAACATCTCCCAGCCCGTCCTTCTGGCATCTGCAAGATTCTTCGGCAAGTACTGCGATTTTCAGTCAAAGGTAAGGTTTTTTTGTTTTTTTTTGTTATTTGATCAGCGCTGACAGCAGCCATTTGTTTGTGATCCCCAGGAGTATATGCTTTGCAAGTTGGAAGAAAAAGATCCTCGAAAGTGCCTGAATGAAGGTAAAGCGCTCACCATGTGTGGTCACGAGTTCTTCAGGAAAGTCGGCCAAACGTGCAAACAAGAAGTCGAGAGAATGGCCAAATGCATGGAATGGACTCACGAAAACCTTAAGATGTACTAGTAAGTAAACGTTCATCAAGTTTTTTTTAACAAAACAATATTTTAATTTAAATTAATTATTCAAATTAGCTGTAACAAGGAGCGAAAGATAATGGAAGATTGTATGGAAAGCAAAATGGGTATTGAAAAACCTCCGTACGGCTACTTTTCTCAACTGCGAGTCCACGAGACTGAACGACCAAAACCCAAGTCATTTGCCACTGAATTTCAAAAACCTAATGTTGGTATGCCGCCTGACTTTCAAGAGGAAGTCAAAGAGAAATTGGGATCCAAGGTTCCACAAGCTTTTCAAGGTTTTGTGTAATGATCGAATGTTGGCAGATTTTAATTCAAACTGTGCTAGTGCTTTTGAGAGAGTAGCAGTATACAAATTGTAAAATAAATTGACTCTTATAAATGGAAAATGGACAACTGGTTAATAGGTGAGAAACAACATGGATGGCGGTTCTGCGAATGGTCTGATCAGTAATTAAGTGCTAAATAATGTTGCCAATATTTCTCATGAGAATCATCGTGTGGATGTCATCAAAGACTCGACGGATGTTGTTGGAATCAGTGGCCGTGGTGAAGTGGAAGAAGCACTCACGCTTGACCCGATACCCATCGGAGAAGCTGTTCTGTGAGGTGCCGCTTCCTCGGTGCTCACCCCTGCACTTCTTGGTGATCTCGAGGAACTTGTCACGAATGAAGCACCGTGCCTTGATGTACTCATCCTCCGGGTCGCCGTCCTTGCTCGGCAGCTTGTAGTCCTTGTACTCGGGAAAGTAGTTTTCAATTTTGGAGCCCCGTTCAATCTTCTCCTTGAGAATGTCCTGCTTGTTGAGGAAGAGAATGAAGCCCGTGTTGACCAGGTACTTGCTGAACCAGACGTCCTCAAAGAGCTCGAGGCACTCCTTCAGTCGGTTCTTGTTGCCGTCCTCGCGCAGTTTACAGTCAAAGCCAGAGGAGTCGATGACGAAGAGAATGGCGGTGATGCCGTCAAAGACTTGAATCCACTTGCGTCGCTCACCGCGTTGACCGCCAACATCAAACATCCTGAAAACGATTACTGGGTTAGAAATGTCAACGGTTAAGTGTAAGAGTCTTCTGCCCTACCAGAATGGCTGATATCCGCCGCCGTACTGTCGGGGCACTTTCACCTCAAATTCAATTCTCTGAATTTCACTCGTCCGCCGACGACTGTGCAGAATGTCCTGGTCAGTTGGTGAGAAGCTGGGCTCTCTGATTTCGTCAATCTTGTCGAGGAAGCTGGGAACGGAAGAAAAGGGTGCTCTAGTAATCATCAGTAGAACAGTGTGGCAGACAGTCTGCAGCGACGTACTATTTGGCAGAGTCGATGAGAAAGAATTCATTGGCACGGAGGTAGCACTGTTGAATGCCCGGGTCTGACCAGAGGCGTTTGACGTGCTCAAAGAACTCATCCGGGTAGCTGTACGAAGCCATGCCGGTCATGTCCAGCTTACGCACAAACTCCAGACTGGCCTCGTTCTCTGCGNAACGTACTATTTGGCAGAGTCGATGAGAAAGAATTCATTGGCACGGAGGTAGCACTGTTGAATGCCCGGGTCTGACCAGAGGCGTTTGACGTGCTCAAAGAACTCATCCGGGTAGCTGTACGAGGCCATGCCGGTCATGTCCAGCTTGCGCACAAACTCCAGACTAGCCTCGTTCTCTGCAACGTTTTCCAGCTGAACTGGCGGCTTCAGGTACGCCATGTTGCTGGTTAGCTCCTGTGGATAGTGTCAGTCATAAGTACTTATTTAGCTAAAATGAGATGGGCAGAGTAATCGTACCTTGATGGCCTCAAAGACGTTCTCCTTGATCTCCTGGCACTTCTCCAGACGCTCCTCTGCGGAGAAGCCCTGTATGTGAAGNCGCACAAACTCCAGACTGGCCTCGTTCTCTGCGACGTTTTCCAGCTGAACTGGCGGCTTCAGGTACGCCATGTTGCTGGTTAGCTCCTGTGGATAGTGTCAGTCATAAGTACTTATTTAGCTAAAATGAGATGGGCAGAGTAATCGTACCTTGATGGCCTCAAAGACGTTTTCCTTGATCTCCTGGCACTTCTCCAGACGCTCCTCTGCTGAGAAGCCCTGTATGTGAAGAATCTTCATTTGCTTGATGATGGTCGTTTTGCCACTCTCACCGGCACCTGTTTTTAGGGGTTGAAGTGCGTTTAGTGGGTCAGTCAGCAGTAAAGTGCGAAAGGTGCAAAATTACCGATGAGCAGTAGCTGGATGACCTTGGACTCCTTCTTGCTCCATTGATTGAGCTGCTTTTCGATCTTTTTGCTCGCCTGTCGACTGGGGTCGACCACCTTGGTGCAGGGCAGACAGCCCACCACCGGCATGCTGAAGGGCAGCGAGGCGAAGAGCTTGCCCAGCGGTGACACTGGCTTCCCGGCGCCCTTTCCAATGACGCTCACGATGCTGTCACCCACGGGTGGGCTGGGGCTGTTCACCTCACTCACTGTCGATCTGCGACAGTCGACGGCGGTACTGCTGGCCACGGTTGTCGTCGTCGTCGTCGTCGTCGGTGAGGCAGTCTGCTGCTTACTGGCTCCTTCACTCAGCATAACAGTAGGCAAGAACGGTTTGATTGAGCTGTAGTGCGATCGAATTGATGAGGCGATGCGGGCACAGTAGCAGCAGAGGCAGAGACGCTGTTCTATGATATCGGAAGATCACTCTGATCAGATCAGCCGGGGGAGGAAAGCGGGAAAATAAACACGGCGGATAACAAGGCGATGATGGATGGAGTGTATGGAGTGAGCGTGTGTGTTCTGTCGCATGTAAATGAGACAAGACAAGTAGAGAGGACAGGTAGAGATTGCAGCCAACCAGAAGAGGCAGCCAGCGATCTGTCGTCTTGGGGCGCGCACTTGAAGCAAGCTGCTGCTGCTGCTGCTGGTGCTATCAAAACAAAGGCGCTGCTGCTGGGCGAAGCAATTTGTGCCGTACCAACTACTTAATTGGCGCTCTAATACTGGCAGCAATCAAAACACAAAGATTGTCCGTCTGCCTGGTTTGAAGGTGTACACAGGTGCTGCGCTGGCTGCAGTTGACTTATCGCCGACGAGAGAGCGGGCAATAGTGTGGTGATAATCGTCCAGATTGAGATGCTGCTACTGCTGGCGCTGCTCTTGCTCTTGATCACTGATTGGCTACTGTGCACACCGTCTTTCCTCCACCAAGAGAACTCAACATGTGGTCTGCTCTGCGCTCTCTGTGTCGCAGACGGTCTTCGATGTCACCACCAGCTCCAGCTCCACTTGCCCACTTCCCCGCACATACTCTCGGACATACCGTCTCTTTCTTTCCTTCCTTTTCTCTCCAACTCAGTCTCTTGGAATCTCAACCTCAGTGCGTGACGCCAGAGCAGTGAGCACAGGTGCTGGTGCTGTTGAAGCTGGAGCTGGTGGTGATTAGAGGAGATGCAGTCAGTCAGTCAGCTACACACCGGTTACACTTGCCCAATTACAGTTACTGCGAAGAAAGGGAGAAAGAGTCATCGGAGCAAGGGTGCCGTCGTTTGCAGACCTTGCCTTCTCTTCTCCCCATCGCCAGTTGCTGCAGTGTCTGGCAATTAAGGCAAGTGGACTCTACAGTTTGCACTGCCTGAGGGAGCATTCCAGGCGACGTGAAGACAGCCACCCAGAGCGAGGCGGCACTGATAAGAGCCACCTGGGCGCTGACTGCTGATGCCCACCACTGCTGCTCGCCAACGAACAACCAACCCATCGTCTCTCGTAGTGCAACTCATTCTGCCTTTCTTTCTTTCTCTCTCCCCGTTGCCTCTTTTGTGGTGCACTTTGATTGAGAAAAATCATTCCACTCGGTGCCCATGATGCAGTCGCCATAAAAAAGTTACATTTCTTTATGTGTTTGCTCGGCGATGACTGACACTTGCGATCTTTTAATGAAAGCCATTGTTCCGCAATTACCAGCTCAGAGTCGTCGCTGCTGCTGCTGTTGCGTCGGCGGCAAATCTGCATCTGTGTCGGCGACAATCGCAGAGACGCAGCAGTAGAATGGGTACAAGTTAGTAATAATAATAAACAAATAAATAGTACAGTACAGTATAATATAAAAAGATTTCAATTTCAAACAAAATGGAATTGCATTTCCCAACGAATGAACAGGTAGAAGAGTGGGTGAGTGTGCACATGTGTCGGTATGTATGATATCTTGTACAAAGGATTTAGGATGCACGACGATGGGTTGGGCCCGCCGATCTACAGGTGGGTTACGCGGAAAAATCAGCGTTATCTCAACGCAAAAGCGACCATTTAAGCTGTTCACGGGCCGATTGTAGCACTTGCGCCACCGTTTGCTCGTTGAAGGAAATGTCCTCTATTTTGACGACTACCTTTTGTACAACATTGTTGGGATCCGCCTCAAGAAGGATTCTGATAAACAAAGTAAACATTTTAGAATGAAGTTTTTAGAAATGATAAAAACAAGCCTTACCCGCCATCACAGATTTCATCTAAAGCCAGAATAACCATGTCCAAGTTATCGAGAAGGGATTTTTTCTCGACGTTCTTTTTCAGAATATGAGACATTGATTCGTACAAGCAGTGCATTACGCTGGCGAGGATTAACTGCAATTAAGAATAAGCATTAACTTTTCAAATAACTCAATGGAAACAAGAAATTACGTACCCCATTTTCATTAGAACTGCCCATTACGTAAAAGAAGAGGTCCACAGAGTTACGGTAGATGCAAGTCATTCCATCGAGCATGATAACTTCAGCATTCGCTCGATGGGTCTTGTTGAACAGGTTGCGCTCAAAGGCCTTTTGCTCTTTTACGCTTGAGAATGTGTCATCGTAATACTGTAGTTTATCAACAAAACAAAAAACAAAGTTATTTACTCCTGATGCTTGCCGGTAAGCGGCTTCACGTGGAGATGACGTGTAACTTACCTTGGCGAGGATTCGGTTTCCATCATTATCGAGGATGACGATGCCCTTGATCAGATACAGCGTTGGCTCCTGCAGATTATTTAAACTGTTAGAGTGGAATTGGGGCGGGTAGGAAGAGGAGGAAGGGGAAATATACCAGCAGTGAGGACTCCATGATCATCGCTTGATGTTTCTGTAGCTGATGAAGCTCAAAGTGGTGTTGCCGACAGCCTTTGGAAAAGAGAGCAACAAAAACAGCCCGAAAAAGCTGCAATGGAGCCACCTGTGAGTAGGAAATGGCACCACTGCTGACAGCTGTACAAACTGGAGAGCAGTACACGTAGCCGGCGTAATGGGGATGCAGTGCAGTTTTCATTTTAAATAATAGATTCAACATTTAATATAAGCATATGTAAAGTATCAAATACAATGGCGTCAAATAAAAATAGTGTACAATTTCAATCGGTGTACGCAACAACAATGAGTGAAACAAGAGCTCAGGGCTCAATGAGATACTCAAGAATTGAACAGTATGGTCAGAGGTTTAAGTGTTATTTTTTTGTGTACATAAAAACAGGTGTGATCAATACGGTGGTGGTAGGTGGAGTGCTTCAAGTGGCAAACAAGAAACAAAGACGTGTGTGTGCATATGGCAAAGTCGGTGTGTTGGTTCAGACTCGGTGGCACTATTTAGTGGGTGTTGTATTGCAGAGGGGTCGGCACTCTCCTTTTACTCGCTGTTGTGGAAGAAGGCAAAGAGGGAGAAGAAGATGAAAACCACACCGCCGATCAGGGTGACTGTCCGCACTGAAATCATCTGGGCAACAAGGCGGCCGCCCAGGACTGCGGCTGCAGTGCAGCAAAAGTGTCCGACCAGAGCACCAACGGCAACGCCAAACACGTCCTCCCTGGCGGCGAGGATGATGGTGCTGATTTGAGATCGATCGCCCCACTCCGCCAGAAAGGTCATTGTGAAGGTTTCAATGAAGACCAGAGACACGTATGCCATCAGCTTTCGCCTGATTCGAGTCGACGTGGGTTGCTTGACCGCCGTTCTGATGATGCCCGTTTCAGGGTCTTCGGCGGAGAGAGCGGTGTTCTCGTAATCACCACTTTGCTCCTTTTTGCTGATGGACTTTTGTACCTCCTCCATCTCCTCTTTGCCTTCATCGTCGGACATGTGGTAGCCCTCGTGGAGCATCTTTGCGCCGAATGCGGCAAAAAGAATGATAGAGCCGTAGTGGGTGATGAACCGCGGAACTATTGTGGTGGCAAGGCCAAGTATCACAGCCAGAGTGTTCATGATAAATATTGCAGACATGGCGGCAAGAAAAACCGTGTACCGGGAATGTCTCATTGCCATAATGGCGGCAATGAAGAAGGTCTTGTCGCCCAGCTCTGAAACGATGATCACTGATAAGGAGGCAACGAATCCGTGTAAGAAAGTGTTTTCATTTAGCTGCTTCCAGAGACCCGGGCCCTCGCTTCCGGACCCGGCCAGCACTTCAGCTATTGCCGTCGAAACCATTTTGGTTGTGCAATCGGTGCTGGTGGTGGAGAAGGTGGTAGTGGTGGAGTATTATTAGTAGCGATGACAACAGAGCAGTGATGATGTTGGAACGATGAGCTGAGAATGTGCAATGACGAAGATGACGGTGTTTAGATGCAGTCGACTAGATGCCAGTTATACTGCGTAAATGGTGGTGGTCATTTAGGTTGTCCTGTTCAGTGTGTGCTTGAATACAAAAGACGAGCAAGGAAGAAGATCAAATGAAGATGCCGAAGAGGCGCATCAAGAGTGACGATCATTCGGCAGTGCGTCCACGATGGATTATCTTATCGTCTGCAGACACCGCTCACACTCACTCACATTCTCTCAAGAGTGGCACTCTGACAGTGGCAGCGTGTAAACTGGCGACAGCACTGACTGGAGAGCGCGCACCGTGTAAACACGCCTCAGTCAGCCATATTGGCGCACACAGCGGCTGCTGTGGTGGTAGTGGAGGCAGGCAGGCCGCTGCGGCATCTACTCGGCGAGGCTGAGAAGACAAAGGCTGTGGAGAGGAGATTGATTCTCAGGCCAGACAAGCAGGCAAAGTGTGTGAAGTGTGGACAGTTCCAGCCAAACAAATCGCCCCGACACTCGCCTCATCACGCCATCCTCATCATCTTTCGCCGGAACCATGGAGGAGCTGAGCTCGGAGGATCGCAACGAGCGCAAAAAGACGCCACAGACGGTGCGTGGCAAGAGGCGGCGATCGCCCTCACCCCAAGCCGACAAGAAGCGTCGAAGCAAGGGTGCCAGTGCTCGCAGCCCGGCTCCCCAGAAGAAGAAGCCCAACAAGAATGACGAGGACTCGGAGGACCAGGCCAAGGACGTTGACGATCCCTCGCCTGAGCCGCCGATTCAGGAGGTGAATATAAACCGCAACTCAGTGGGCAACCGAAACAAAGACAATGAAAACATGCCCATCAAAGGCGGCACCATTATGGATCTCGACAGCAACGATTACGATGACAAACATCTCAACTCTAATGTCAACTCGGTGGAAGAGAAGACATCACGTCCCGCTTCGCCCACTCGTACTGAAAATGCCAATGACAACGTGGCCAAGTACGACAAGGACGACGGTGCCGATGACAATGTGACCGAGCAGGCAAACCACATCATCATTCCCAGCTACGCCTCATGGTTCGACTACAACTGCATCCACTCGGTTGAACGACGCGGCCTTCCAGAGTTCTTCAACAGCCGTAACAACTCAAAAACACCCGAAGTGTACATTGCCTACCGCAACTTTATGGTCGACACGTACCGGCTCAATCCCACTGAGTATCTGACGGTCACCGCTGTTCGCCGAAACATTGCCGGCGATGTGTGTGCCATCATGCGAGTGCATGCCTTTCTCGAGCAATGGGGCCTGATCAACTACCAGGTGGACGCTGACGCTCGCCCTACCCCAATGGGTCCTCCATCGACCAGTCATTTCCATGTTTACCTCGACGCACCGTCCGGCCTGCAGCCACTCAACCCTCCTCGAGGACAGATGTCAGCCACCCAACAGATGCTGAACTTGCCAAAGGAGAACGGCATCGGCAAGCTCGACTCTGAAAAGGGCGAGGCGGCGGACAAAACGGATGGCGCCACACTGAAGAACGGTTTCAATGACAACTTTGGACTGAAAGTTGATCAGTACGCCAAAAAGAATTCCTTCTTTAAAAGCAAAGCCGCGGCAAATCTCTCACGCGAGTGGACTGAGCAGGAGACACTGCTTCTCTTGGAGGGACTGGAGCTTTACAAGGACGACTGGAATAAGGTGTGCGAACACATTGGCAGCAGGACGCAAGATGAGTGTATTCTTCACTTTTTGAGGTTGCCCATTGAGGATCCTTACCTTGACAACACCAACAACGCTCTCGGCCCACTGTCGTACAACCCGATTCCATTCTCCAAGTCGGGAAATCCCATCATGTCAACTGTAGCATTTTTAGCCTCTGTTGTTGACCCAAGAGTTGCAGCATCAGCAGCCAAAGCGGCAATGGAAGAGTTTTCGAAAATCAAAGATGAAAATGTGTCTGATGACGTTTCTGCTTCAAAGAGCTCTGAAACTCCGACTGCTATCAGTGAAAACACAACATCAGCTGACGCCACCACCAGACCTGCTTCAGAGGATTCTACAGAAAAAAGTGCTGAAGCAAATGACGCAAAATTGAAAAAAGACGGCGCTGAGCAAGCAGAATCAACAGACAGCCAAAAAGATGATAAAGAAAAAGAGAAGGAAAAGGAGAAGGATGTAAACGGCGTGAATGAGGAAGTTTCTGAAGTTAAAAAGGAAATCACCGACTCAGAAAAGCCTAGCGAGCCAATGGAAGTGGACAAGGAGAATGGCGGCGATGCAGCAACTGAGAAAAGCAAGGAAGGTGGTGCTGAAAAGTCCAGTGAAGATGCATCGACAACAGAAAAAGACTCAACAGTGGCAACAGCTGAAAAGGAGAATAAAGAGAAGAATGCTGTCAAAGAATCTCAAATTTCTGTTGCAGCTGCTGCCGCTCTTGGTTCTGCCGCTGTGAAAGCTCGTCACTTGGCTGTGGTGGAAGAGAGAAAAATCAAGTCCCTAGTTGCACTACTGGTTGAGACTCAGATGAAGAAGCTAGAAATTAAGCTGCGTCACTTTGAGGAATTGGAGCACATCATGGACCGTGAGAAAGAGACGGTATGCATTTGTACTCAAAGGGATTGCTTTTTCATTATTAACCCATTTTTTCCTTTGTACAAAACTACAGCTCGAATTCCAAAGACAGCAGCTAATGCAGGAACGACAGCAGTTTCACATGGAGCAGATTCGACAGCAGGAGTTGCGCGCTCGCCAACAGGCTCAGCAGTATTACAATGCTCAACATCCTGTCGCCAATCACAGTGCTCCACAAAAAGAGGTCAGTTCACTTCCTGGAGGACTTTTCTGAGCCGTTGGAGCATTCTTTTTCTCTGGGCTATGGCAGTTTTTCTCTCTTTCTTAACACGCTAAGATTATCGGGCAATAAGATATTGTTAAGTTTTCAACTTGAATTATTTAGTTTCATTTTACTTTCAAATCTATGTCATTTAAAAGATCATTTTGGACATTTTATTCAATTTAAATTACATATGATTCTGGAGCTGTCTAGAGTCATATTCGACTCTAAGGGTTGTAGATTTTTAACATATTTTTGAAATGAATGTCAGTAGTTATTCAAAGCACACTCAGCGAGACTAGCAAAAACCTAACAAACTTTTTGTTTTGTGACAACAGCAGCAGCAACAGCAACAGCAACCACCACCGCCTTCCCAGAATTCTGGTGGTCCTGCAGCGGCTGAGAATGACGCCAGCAAGCTGTCTCGTCCTGGAATGCCTCCTGCCGCTCAAAGATTCCCCAACTCGCCATCAGTACCGATTCGACCGCCAGTTCAGCAGCAACTGCAGCAGCAGCAGCCACCCCCACCTCAACCGCAGCAGCAGCCAATGCAGTCAGTGGTGCCCCAGCACCTGACCACTCCATCGCAACCTGGTGTTGCGCTGAACACTTACACACCCTCACAGTCCCAGCCCCCACAAGCTCCCCAAATACCGCAAGCCCCACCCTCATCAGCCCCATCAACAAGTAATTTTGAAGAACCATGTTGTGAAGTGCAATCATATGTTGATACCATTTCTTTACTCCTCGCTGTAGATAACATAATTCAAAGCTCTCCTGCATCAGCAGTACCACCACAGCCATCAGCAGCAGCAGTTTCAATGAATCCTGATCAGCAGGTTGTGGCTGCTCCAGCCGTAGCAGCAGCAAACCCTTCTCAGCTGCCGCCCCAGTCAATGGTGCCCCAGCAAGCTGCTCCTCCCCTTCAGACAAGTAAGATAAAATGATAATTGGTGATACAATTCTTATACATGTTTTGTATTCCGATAACAGATAACATGATGCAAACAGCGGCGCCTCTACCCCCAGCACCTGTTTCGATGAGCTCCGAACCGCAAGGCAGTGTTGCGGTGATGCCTTCAGTTTCAGCCCCGGTGCAACAATCTCTTCCGCCGTCTCAACTGCCACCACAGTCAATGGTGCCACAGCATTTACCACCTCCTCCGACCAGTAAGTTAGATGACAGCAGCAGTAAAGCTTGATACTAATCAACATTTGCCTGTAGATAACCTGATGCAGAGTGCCCCTGCTCCCCCACAAGCAGCGCCCGTTTCGGTGGCCATGAATCCCGAGCACGGCAGTGCGACCCTTCCGCCAGCAGCAGGTGGTACTCCAGTAGCCGTACCAGTTCAGACTGCTCCTCCGGCGATCCCCTCTCCGTTGCCTCCGCAGCCACAGTCTATGGTGCCCCAGCACATGCAGCAGCAGCAGACTCCTGCTGTAATGGCTAGCTATGCCCCACCACCACCTCCAAACAGTAAGGAATTGCCGATTGACGTTCCTTATGTCATTGTGCTAACTTTATCGTTGCTTTATCTAGATAACTCAATGCAAAATGCTCCTGTACAGCAGCCACTACCACTAGCACCTCCTGCACAGCAACAGCCATCACCACCATTGCAGCAACAGCAGCAGCCGCCGCAGCAAGCCCTTCCAATGAACCCAGGTCAAGGTGAAGGAGTTGGGGGAGTTGCCTCAAGTGCTCCAGTGCCCATGCAAACTGAGTCACCACCAGCGAGCACCACAAATACTTAGTTGCTGAACAAGCGGTGACACAACTATTGGACTACCCATGAACTTGACTAAATCATTTTATTGGCTAGGCAAATTTTATGGATTTTATAACCATTCTGGTAGCATTAAAGTTTGCTGAAGCCCTCAGTTAGAGTCTTCATGATTTGGGTTCATTCAATGCGATGCTAAAGAGCACTGATCTGCTGCAAACAGCTGGTGACCCATTGACCAGGAGAGTACTGGAAGTGTCCTGGAGGGAGGCAGAGAGAGAGAGAGAGATAGAGAGCTATGCATGCGTCCATGATGGTGGTCGGTGGGACTGTGCTCAGTCGGTGAAGGGCAGCCCGGCACAGCGCGCGCCGCTCACGGCCACCCGGTTCTGCCGGGTCTGGGCGCCGCTAGACGAGTTTGCTGTTCGGCGACGGTGTCTTCTGGTGGTCGGTCTCCTTCTCGGCGGCAGGCACTCTCTCTGGCACTCTCAGCGAATGCGCGCATGCACTACTCGAGGATACACTTCAAGCTGAAAGACTACTCTCCTCTGCAACACACTCTCTCTGCCTCTGCCTCCGCTGTCTGTGTATCTCCTTTGTGTTGGCTCCAGTGGTCGTCTCCCTCTCTCTTTCTCTCTTTGTGCGTCGTTAGCTACTACTGCTGCTGCTGTTGATGCTTGTTTTGTTATGATCGCTGCAGCTGCGACTGACGACCACCATCTCCTCAGTGTCGGTGTCCCCATCGCCACCACCACCAGCACCTTAGCAGGCCCGACTCGCCCACCTCACTGGCACACCTCAAAGAGCAGAAAGCAGCAACAGCAGCAGCAGCAGCAGAGAAGTCATGAGTCCCTAGAGAAGAGTGCTCAGAGGCAGCAGAGTCCTCGAGTAGGACTGTCACCAGGACACTAGCGCAAACACACAGCCAGTAGTCTCCTGCTCCTGTCAGCTCCAGCACTAGCACACCAATCTCTTCTCAATCAGTCTCTTTTTCTCTCAGATTGTCTGACTCTATCCTTTATGCGCTTGTACTCTGTCGTACCCCGACCACTCTTTCAAGTGTAGTCACTGTGCCATTGCACCCTTCTCTGCCGCAGACAAGGTCTCTCTCTCTCTCTCTCTCTCTCCTGCTGAAGTGAGCTGCTGTTGCACCCCGACAGTCTGCTGATTGTGTGGTAAGCTGTTGGTGAAGAGTTGAAGGTACTCCACCAACTTCCTTTCAGTGCACCATCATCTTCCGAACCGAGTTGCCAGCACAAACCGACGGATCAAACGCTCTGCGAGAGCCATGAAATCGCTCACTTGTCTTTCCAACTCTTCATCCTCCTCCAAACGGACCTCTTACAAAACTCAGAGTCGAATAAAGGTTCTATTTCATTATTTGCTCCTTCTTTTTCGCCCCTCTTCTTTTCTCTTTCCCACTTGGATCCCCTTTTCCCTTGATTCCATCTCCAAGTGATTGACCTAGTCTTCTCGACCCTCTTCTTAGATACGACCATGATCAAAACTGCTTTTTTTATTTATTATATTAATTTCTCTAATTTTATGCTTTCTTTTTCTTATGTTTTTGTTTTCTTCGATTCTCTTTTTGCATCACTCATCACTTGCATTCACTTGCCCCACATGGGCCTTTCCTTTGACCATACCGATCACTGTCCTGTCGACGACGTACCACTAATCTAATGTTCCGCGTCACCGACAGCACCTATGAAGACACTACACAGACACCTTCAAACTCCTTAGCCATAACTTTCATATTATTTCTTTTTCGTTCACTCACTTTGCTTGTCAGGCACACCAGCTGACTTGAATCGCTCTTTTGACTGTTGCGATGCTCCCTTTCCAGCCACTTGTACTTTACTAGTCCTACACTACTGTGCAGTTCTCTCTGTAGTGAAGTCACTTTATTTATTTATTTTTTAGCGAGAACTAACCAATTGCAGTATATCACTTTGAGTAGTAGAGTCCCAGTCAGTCACACACAAGCACACACACACACACACAAACTCACACTACTCACACATGTGAAGCCTTTAGTGATCGTTGGTGAGCGGAGCCCACCGACCACCACTGACCGCCACAGCCAGCCACAGCAGGACCTTGAATCGACAGGAGAATTGAATCGAGAAAGCAAAGATCGAATTAAAACTACCTCACACACCGTTTGACACAAATGTCACAGGCCATGTCTCAACCCAAGCTAGCTACTTCAGTATGTGAATATTCATTTCTTCATTCTTGTTCACTTGCTCGTGCCAGCTACTGATGATCTGTAGAACTGCTTCGTAGCTTCATAGTCAGCCATTTTCAGCTGTTGAACTGCTTGTCGACTTCAGTTGTTGCCTAGAACACACTGGAGTCTGAGCACTGCCCGCACTGACCATGACCACACAATGCCATCTGACAGCTTTCCGAAACCAGCTCTGGGCCCCACTCTTTTCACTAACATCTGCTGTAGTAGTGTCACAGTGTACTACCATTACGTTTACCAGTAGCATTCAATAACTTGTAATCAGTACTACTAACTCTAGTAGCCTGCTAGTCTTCATTTCTCCACATTCCTCTCTTTATGCCCACTAAAAACTTCCATTTACTAACTGCTCTTTGCACTTCTTTTTCTTTCTTTTCCTTCCATTTTTTGACCACGACACAGCAAATCTTTCGATCGGCCAATGGCACCAGTACTGCCAATGGAAACTGCAACGAAGCCGACGAGGCACTCATCAATCGAAAGCTGCCCAAAGAGCTTCTCCTGCGTATCTTCTCTTTTCTCGACGTGGTCACCTTGTGTCGATGTGCACAAGTCTCACGAGTATGAAAATTTCCCACCATCTGTTGCATTTTATCTAATTTATTTTTTTCAGTCTTGGAACATATTGGCACTCGATGGAAGCAACTGGCAGAGTGTCGACCTCTTTGACTTTCAAACTGACATTGAGGGGCCTGTGGTGGAGAATCTTTCCAAAAGATGCGGGGGCTTTCTTAAAAAGTTAAGTCTTAGAGGCTGCAAATCGATCACCGATGCAGCCTTGAAGACGTTTGCTCAAAACTGCAACAACATTGACTTTTTGGATCTCTTTGACTGCAAAAATGTCACAGATGCGTAAGTTTTCTAGTACATAGGAGCGAAAACTAGACTGACATTTTATGTTTTCAATCCCTTTAGCACTTGTCGTAATTTAAGTCAAAATTGCCCCAAGTTGGCTCGTCTTAACTTGGGATCATGCGGTGAGATTACAGACGCCTCTCTTGAAGCATTAGGGTAAGTAAGATAAAGAAGCAATGCTCAATTGGTCATCTCACTTTGCACCTAATTGCCACTGCAGTGCGGGTTGTGCTCTCTTGGAGCACATCAATGTTTCCTACTGCGACAAGATATCAAAGAATGGCATCGAGAAGTTGTCACTTGGCTGCAAGAAGCTCAGTGCCTTTATTGGCAAGGTGTGCCCCAGCATCAACGATGAGGCTGTCCTTTACCTGGCGACCAACTGCGTCAATCTGCGCACTGTGAATCTGCACGGCTGCAGTACGATCACCGACGAAGCCATCCAGCGACTGGCCAGCAACTGCTTTCAGCTGCGCTACCTGTGCGTCTCCAACTGCACCAATCTCACTGACCTCTCCTTAATATCAATCGGCCACAATTGCCACTCTCTGGTCACCCTTGAGGTGTCGGGCTGTAATCAGTTCACTGACAATGGCTTTCAGACGTTGTCGCGCTACTGTCACGACTTGGAGAAACTGGACCTGGAGGAGTGTGTCCTCATCACCGACAACACTCTGGCCCACCTCGCCAATGGTTGTCCACTCTTGCAGAATCTGGTCAGGGTTTACAGTCTTTGTCTTTCAAGTTGATCCCTCACTCATTCACTTATCTTGTTTATCTGCAGAGTCTTTCGCACTGTGAGCTGATCACCGATGACGGCATCAAGCACCTGAGCACTAGCACCAACACAGTGGAGCACTTGGAGGTTCTGGAGCTGGACAACTGTCCACTGATCACCGACTCCTCACTGGATCACCTTTCTCTGTGCTACAACCTGCTACGGGTAGAGCTGTACGATTGCCAGCTAATCACCAAAACTGGCATTCGCCGACTAAAGGTTCGTCTGATGACTCCTGTCTTGATCCATTGTTGATGTCTACTCCTTTGCTAACCGCCACCTAACTAACACTTTATTACTCCTCTGCACAGCACAACTTGCCCAATCTGCGAGTGCACACCTACTTTGCTCCGACCACTCCGCCGCCGTCGATCACCCCGCGAACAAAGTACTGTCGTTGTTGCATCATTCTTTGAAACTTGTTCATACTATGCGGCGTTTATACGACATCTTTTTTGAATTAGTTTTTTACACAGCACACCACACCACCATTCGCATACACTCATTTCATTGGGGCACATACTCATCATCAACCTGTCTTTTATGCTATAGTGAGATATTATTCTAATCGTAGTTACTAGGTCTACAGCTACACTGCAAAGTCCTGTGCAGTCGGTGTGCAGGGCGGTGGCACTACTGGTCGCCACAATGATTTGCAACACCACACTTACACACACGCACTCACCGTCTCTTTCGTTCTTTCATTCTCTTTCTCTCGGTGTCTGGTGTGGTTTCATGTGATATACTCATTGCGAGTTTCTCTTTCTCCCGCTCCCTTTCCCCTTTCTTTCCCTACCATGTGCTTAATCTGTGGCTTCAGTTGCTGGCAGTGGCAGCAACTACCAACTACTGCTTTTCCCCTTTCTCTACCCTGTACATAGTTGTCGCTAGCCAGCACCGAAGCAGCCATCGTTTCCACTTGCCTCTGACACGCCCATTACTGAACGAATGTGTCTTACTGAACCTTCTTTTCTATCAAATCTGTCCTCTATCACGTCCCGGCAATTAGATTTTTTCTTTTTATCTTTTTTCTCTTTTTTCGTGTTCACCCAAAACCTGTGTGCGCCATTCTTATCAGCATCTCATTCCTCAGTGGCATGTAGTATTACGATTCTTTTTTATTCAACATGTATTTTTTGTATCACCGTATCAAGGGCCATTGTTCATCTTTAAAGCGCTTTCAATTTCTCTCCCCTTCCCTGGTATCAGGTCAACCTTTGGTCAGCAATCACTTCTGGCAATTTGTATCCGCGATTCATACTTTTCTGAATAAATTTTTTTGTGCTTTTTTTCTGTTGATGATTGCAATTCTGTCCATAAGGTGCCGCTTTGAGTGGCTATTTAGACGGTGGAAAGTGAAATTGATTTGCTTCGATCGAGAGCAGTATAGGCCGGAGAGTGATTACTGTGAAGTGCCCTGCACCATTAGGAAAGTGGCCAAAAGTCCCAGGTTGCGATGACTGTCCGAAAGGGCACCAGTGAGCTTCTCAGCGCTATCACCACCACCACCATCATCATCGTGATCATCATCAGCATCCTCTTCCAGTGTTGCCTTTGCAGGCGAGTCCAATGCGAATGATCAATGCGCGGCACTATTAGGCGGTGGCAGTGTATAGTCATTGGTAGAGCACGGCCATGAAGCAAAGCAGAGTAAAGGCACACTGAGGCCTTGACTCTCGTCGAGCAGTGTGATTTATCAGGGGATATTAGAGCTATTTAGAGGCAATAACTGTAATGAAAAATCGAGTTTTCGAGTCTGGGCAGCAATAAATTAAGCGGCAAATGTCCACAGAGATGGATGGAAGGATGGAGGGCAATTGCAGTGCAGGGCAGCAGTTCAATGCTTCTGCTGTGTGTGCAGCAGTGGTAATGGAATGGAATCGATGATGGCTCGCTCAATATGCACATCACGACGACCAGTATGTCCACTAGGCCGATTGCTTGGCTGTGTGTGAATTCAAATGGCCATTAGCGATGCGATGATGCCATCGCCGTCGATGGCACACACACTCACTCACACAACTACACTGTCTTGGCTCCAATGATAATGGCGCCCAATCGCTGCCAGACAAGGCACATAATTGCCAAATTAGACTGATCATTAGGGCAAACAAAGGCTGATCCCGAGTCGGGCGCTCTCTAGCACTACTAGTTTATTTTTTGTTCGTGTACGTTTTTTCTACACTATACGATGATTTTGACAACTGCGACGACGACGTCCATGGCCGTTCTTCTATTTGCTTTGCCGATGAGCACAATCAAAACAGGCCACTGTCGATTATTGATTATTTGCACTCGCCTGCACGATCTCTGCATCATTCGAAGCGACACAGTGACAATCAGACACAATCTATTCCCCACAAACTGAACAGAAGCCATTTTCAAGCTATAAAGCTCAATTGTTTGTCCATCGGGTTGTTGGTAGTTTCCAGTAGTCATCAGCAGTTAAAATTGTTTTGTAAGAATGGACTTATTAAAAAAGGGTTTCAAAGTTTGAACAACTTATATGACGCTTAAAATAGCAATCTTACTGACACCACTCTCAAACGAAAAAGTTTTTTTGCTTGTTTAAGAAGCACTCTACGAGATATGTGTTTGTGCTCTGTGCAGTGGTTGACGAGTTCCGCTGCAAGATCAGCAGCGGCAGCACTTTCTAAGAATCAATTTGTTTAGATTAATTCTATTATTCTATTTGAGGCTGATAATGTAATTTAGTAATTGGACAGTCACCATTGCTATCGTTCAGTGACTCTATTTTATGCTTAGTTTAGCATATTACAAGTGATGATGATCGTTGTGCCTCTGTGTACGCTCTCTGCGCGCCTCAGCGGTGCCTCAGTGCAGAAGAGATGGTGTTTGTCTTGGCTGTATGCCTGGTGCCTTTTAACTTAATGGCAGCCTGATATGCGACTGATAGCGTTATTAGCGTTATTCGATTCATTTTGCTTTGTCTTCCTGTGGGCCGCCAGCGTTGCCACTGTCTCTGCCATTGTGATGGTAATCAGACAAGAGAATTGGGCTGCAGATGCTGATGCTAGGCGGCAAACACCGTGAACAAGAGAATCGGAGTTGTCGATTAAATTGAATATTGCCAGGGGATTGCCAGTGGATGCTAAGGCAGCAGCACAGCAGGCAAAGGAGCCGTTTTGCCCAAAGTGAGCCGTCAGGCAGCAGCAGCAAATTAGCGAGAGACCAAAGAGACAGGCGCTGACGTCGGCTCTAGTCGAGTGCTGATTGGCCCTCCACACAATCCTGGCGTTGGTCTTTGTCACTTTGTGCTGGTACACTCACTGCCGCCAGCGCCAAAAAGAACTGCTGCTTCTGCTACACTTACTGCTACTCACTGGCTGCTAATCACTGGCACTGGAGACATTGCCTCTACACTCGGCAGTGTGGCGTCCAGCAGTCTGAAGAGAACAAAGTCCTGCACACTGCACCAAAAGGTCCTCAGCTAACTAAAGAAAAGACTTTCAATTGAATTAGCCACTTGGAACTTTCAAAACTAAATTAGCTCGCTATTGCCGAATCACTTGACGACACTTTGTGAAAACATCAATTGTGAACTTTTACTCGAAATTTAATGCGAGCGCAGACAAAGTCAACTGATGAGCGCAGCTTTACAAATACTCTAGCTTCTTAGTTTCAATTTTTTGTTAGAAGTGTTAATTGAATTACTAATTGTGAGGATGATTGAAAAATCAGTTAATCGATTGATAATGCTGCAGTAATAACAATGCTTTATTGTGAAAGCACAAAAATCATTTTGATATTTAGTTTTGTCAAAAAGTTAAATTAAATTTTATAGCTGCAATGTTTCTTGTTTACACTACAGTGTGATGCCTAATATTTTAAAAACGTTTCGTTCATCGGACTCAAATGACAAAAACTTAAGGAACAGTACCTAAGCTTTAAACTGAACAGCTCAGTTAACAAATGTTTACTTTTTNTGCCTAATATTTTAAAAACGTTTCGTTCATCGGACTCAAATGACAAAAACCTAAGGAACAGTACCTAAGCCTTAAACTGAACAGCTCAGTTAACAAATGTTTACTTTTCTTTAAATTTCCTAAATTCAATAACCATTTCCAGCAAATTAACTGTTTTCTTGAACAGCACTCACTCTGGCAAGTGTCGAGGCAGCAGCAGCATCAGCCATGTCTAACAAACTGCAAAGTGCCTTCAATGCCTCTATATACCGACGACCATCATCATCATCATCAGCAGCAGCAGCAGCAGTNAGTACCTAAGCCTTAAACTGAACAGCTCAGTTAACAAATGTTTACTTTTCCTTAAATTTCCTAAATTCAATAACCATTTCCAGCAAATTAACTGTTTTCTTGAACAGCACTCACTCTGGCAAGTGTCGAGGCAGCAGCAGCATCAGCCATGTCTAACAAACTGCAAAGTGCCTTCAATGCCTCTATATACCGACGACCATCATCATCATCATCAGCAGCAGCAGCAGCAGTAGTAGTTGTAACTGAGGACGCCATTGGCACTTGCGACGATGCCTGCGATGAGCACAATATAGACCAGTGCGAGGTGAGGCCAGTCAGTGCACTTTCCCTTTACAAATGCAAACAGACAGGCGGACAGACGGGCAGAGAGCGAGAGACAGTCCGTCGCTGCCTAATGAGCTGCAGACAGCGATGGGCAAAGAACACGTTTATTTTACAGAAGTAATAAGCGATTGGGTGGCGATGGTGGTGGTGGTCGTGGTGGGGGTGCTTGGCAATGGGCTGACTGAGTAGAGGTGACTAATTGCTGCTTACAGGGTGCACACAGAAGTGGGCTGCCCTTGTACGAAGTGTGATTGGCAAAATGTACAATGCAAAGAATGGAAGTAGAAAACTTGCTGAACAAGGGACGTTGAGGAAAGGAAGAGAGAGAGAGAGAGAAAGAGAGAGAGAGAGAAAAGTCGCCTAGCTGACAAAATGCCGATAGAAAGACTCGCCCACCATAGAGGGGTGTCGGTGAGGGTGGTGTGGGTGCTGAAGGACACTGGCATGACCACTCACCGCACCACCGATCACTCCATTAGAGCGGGCGCAGTCGATGAGGCCATTGCCCGCCGATGCGGCACTCCATTTGGGCGGCGATGATAGATGAGTAAGACTGAGATCAGCTTCAGGCGATGAGGATGACTTGAGCGCCGAAGAGGAGGAGGAAGAGCATGACGATTTGAAGATGAGCGACGAAGACGCACCCGGAGAAATGCCCTCAGCGCTGGAGTGTGATTTGTTGCACTTGCTCTCATTTTCAGTAGCAAAAGGACGACTCGAGTCAGAGTCGTACTCGGCATCGTCGCTCATCTTTGCCGCCGCTTCTGCACGGTCACTGTCTGGCGGCGATTTGCTGCTGTTGTTTTGGGATTTTGCCTCCTGTGCCGCCTTTTTGCTGCGTTTCCACTTCATCC